ATCAAGATTTTCTTATTCATCTTCCATGTACGGACGAACATCGACATTGGAAGAACAAATTGAGTCAAGTTTCAATATTGATCCATAATCAACAAAACGAAATATTAAACTACAATGACCATTTCCATAAAGATCTTTTCAAAGGGTCTTAATTTATCTACTTATTTTTCGTTGTAACAAAGGAGCTATTGTTTCCAATATTATTGTTGACGTTCGAGGTCGCCGATATTAATTGCATGCAGCGTGGACAAAATAAATAGCCGTAGACATTATAGCCGTTCATGATTAGCTGCATGCTTGCCGACCGCTTTAATTGGCTGGCAGTTTGGTTTATTCATACACGTCTCGTTAGTACGACGACTTGAAAGCATAGCCTTCTGTGCACTGTATAATTCTACATACCTTACCTTAGGTATTAAAACAGTACGAACCTTTGATGTACCTGTGTATGTTTGGTATTATTGTGTAGTCATGGAAAACTTGTTACGGGAAATACAAGCGAACAGGTGAGACGGATTCATACCTTATTTTTATAGGGCATGTGGAAAAACATGAACGTATCGATTGATGGTTGATGACATGCGATGTTATGAATGAACGCTGCCATAGTGGTGATGTGAGTCGTCTAGGGCTTCTGCTATTTATTCATTCAATATGGTAACATTTTACTAATACATAATTTCATCCAGAGCAAAGAGTATAATAAGTATAGGGAAACAGAGGTATACCAGGGTGCAAATACATCTATCACAGCTGTTATACTATACTACAATATCTATGCAAGTAAACAAATCGCTTTAGAAAAAGTAAATTAAAATAAAGCGTGTTAAATTCACTTATTTGTGGGAGATTTCTAGTTATGATTTCTCATTTATCGTATGTGTGTAAATGAATAGTGTATCTACGACATTTTCCTAGGAAGTATTTTATGGCATAGAAATCAAACCACAAATCACTGTAAAGCAAAATACATTTATTTCCAAATATGCCTTGGTGGAGGTTCACAATCAATTTACCAATTACAATAAAGATACATTCTACACGCGGACGGCAGTGTCGATCTTGGGCTGTGTGGCGGCGGAGTTGAGAGACTCGCAGCGGCAGCACCGCCAGGTGTTCGTGCTCGGCACCAGGTGCTCACTGCTCACGCACTCCAAGTGGTACTGCGACGCACAAAGACTGCATTTTATGGACGCGCAGCCCTCCATCGTACGGTTGCAGAAAGCACAATCCATCTTCACTAATTTTACTGTCAACAAAAACAATCCCGTCAAATCCTTAGGTACCATCATCATCATCATCAGTTCACTGCTGAACATAGGTCTCCCCAATGACTTTCAGATAAGCCCATTGCAAGCGATGCATCCAGCTGGATGCAGCTGGATGACAAGAAACATCTTGTAACCTTGTTTCCTTACAAAATTCTATCACTCCCAAAAAAAAATTGTGAAAAATATACTTACAATATAAAAATTCACTTATAAAATATATATTTTATTTGTTTTTATTCGAAAGGGGAAACTGTTTTATAATTTTTATGCGGTTTTAAGTAATGAGTGTATACGGTGTGACTGAAAAATTCAACTGGCAAAAAACGATCGCTGACAGAACGTTTTATTTTTATTTTTTATTCTTTATTTAAAATGAAAACACGGTGGAGTTTTGTTACAATTATTCTGGTCAAGCACAAACTAATTTCATCTAATCATCAGAAGGACAATGTATGACTATGAGGTCTTACTAAAAATATTTGCTGACGAAGTTACATTCCAGAGTTTCTGAGGCTTTATCCAAATAATTTTATCAAAACGTAAAGTACAATAAATTAATATTATCCATTAAATATTATTCAAGTGTGATATACAAATAATCACATTTTTAAGTTTAATAATCTAGTTTGTATTTCATCTGTTATACGAGTACCTATTATTCTATCACTTGAATTTGATCTGTACGGAGATAAAATTTTATATTCGAAACTTTGTTAGTTATATGGAGATAAGTAACCTACTTTAGCGAAAGTAAGTAGTAGTTCACATTTTGTAGTAAAATATCAGAAATGTTGCACATGATGCATTGCAAAACGATTTTACCTAATACAATAAATAATATTAAAATTGCTACATAGTAAGTACTTAGGTAAATGCTTAAACATTCCTGTAATAATATCTTAAATTATTTTCATCCTTGACATGGTTTTATTGCCAGGTAGACTAATTTTGAAAAGCTTTTAAGTAGGCTTTAATTTTAAAGGTTCCTTTTGAGTCCTTTACCTTGTTTATTCGTTCAGTTTAAGACATAATTGCTTTACTTGTGAACCTTTCAAAATTTAACCGAAACCCATTACGCCCGGGTTTCAGTTTAAGAATTTTGTAGATAGACATTTTATATTCTAGGCCTAGAAAGCCTATTCTTGTTTACATACACGTCATGCTAATCAAAACATAGATGACTAAGAATGTAAATTGTAAGGTCGGTCAATTACAGTGATATCAACAGCAGTACTTGAATGTGCTCTAATAAATCTGAGTACATGGTTGGAGAGTTCATAATTGTGTGTCCATCAGAGATCCGCCCCGTTTGTTAGATGAGCGGCCATGGTCAATGTTAGCAATTAATCTTGTGAGATGATGCACTCTGGCACTCACTATGCTAATTACAACTACTTAGTAGCCTAGAAACCCACCCTTGTTTATACCTTGTCAATACAAATCATTCACGATTGTGACGTCAAAATAAAACTCCCAATCAAAGTCGAAACGAACCTTAAATACAAGGCCAAGCCTATAATACGTTAACGATAAAAATAGTTATCGATTTGCTCTTATTTTGGACGCAAAGAGACGGAATTATTATCCTCCTTAGATATAAACTATGAGAAGTTACTGTTGCTATAATAATTTATGTGGGATGAGCTATCTGTGTGCAAACTATCAATATCACTCCATTATTTTTAATAGAGGTAAATAGTAAATAAATGTCATAACGCTTTTATTATTAGTCCCTACTTAGGAAGGTACCTCATATTAAAAATTAATCACTAAAGTTGAATTATATTTTCATCATTATTCAAAATAAAATAATTATAAACTTAACTTTGCAAGAATGCCTGTATATATTATTATAGATCTACATATTATTTTTTATGATGAGATAATTATAATACGTAGGTACCTAGATTTTATTGAATTATGTTTAATTATTTCTTACTAGTTTCTAGTGGGATAAAAAGTAGCCCATGTGTTATTCCAGACCATAATCTAACCCTGATCCAAATTTCATATTAATCCCTTCAGCCGTTTTGACGCGAAAGACTAACAAACACACACACATGAATATTATGAAAGCTACAAGTTATTAGTATTATTGAATCATTCAGTATCTTACAATGCATTATTAAATGTTTTTAAATTTCCAAACAAACCAAAGCTCACGTGATATAACTACATAATGTTGACATGGCAAGCAGTCCGAGTTATTTGTTCCCTTATACATTTACGCGGAGCTCCATATTTCAAGAGCAACAGCTGAACATTTTACATTACAATGGAGAACAGACAAGAGGTGGGACCCAAAGGCTTTTCAACGTATTTTGGAGGCGTATTATTGTAAATTTGGTCTCACACCAACACTTCGCACTTGTTTACATACTTCACAAGTATTATCCAACACCTTTTATACCTAAATTAAATCCTTTCATGAATGTATTAAAATCCCTTGGAGCATTGCTGTCGTGTAACGTTGTTAGTGTTTTGGCTCTCTGCCAAAATGTACTACTGAATTTTATTTTACGCAAAAAGAATTATTTAGTTATGCAAATACGATTTTCTCAACGAAATAATACAGCACTTACTTTTATTTTACTTTTACTTTCATGTCTCATGATGGATAAGTTATCTGAATCATATTTTAGTACCTACAATAATTCCATCTTGAAATATTCAAGAAAAGACAGTACCTACTTCTTTTTGGAAATTTGGAAGGCCAATAGGCCAATAATGCATTCGTGACTCCTAAGTTAGGTATATTTCCAAAAAGAAGAAAGAATACTGTATTGCAGAATTAATGATTCTAAAACATATAGTGCGCAGGAAAATAAATTAATCTACTAAATAATATATTATAGGTATATTTACCTTTAACATTATTGCTAATAAATAATATGTTATTATTATATCTATTAGGTACACGATGACATAATTTAGGTGCTTTTAATTAATTTGTAAAACAAGTATAAATACCACCTCCTTACACGTTTTGCCAAGTCTTGATTACCTATATTTAATCTGTGGACCTAATAAAATAACATTTTGGCGCGAAATCAAATTATAAGTTCGTGTCATTGTATTAAACAACACAATTTATACTGTATGCAATTTTTATCTATTTATTGCGTACATACTTGGTATATTTTTTAATTTTTTATTATATTTTTTTACTGTTAACATTTTTTAACAAATCATTTTTTTAAATCTGCCTAACCACAGAATCTTGATTATCTTTGTAAGTAAAGAATAGCGCGATAAGAAAGCTTACCTACTCTAAATAACAAATTTCTTATTACAAAACTTTTACAAATCATATACTTTTTATTTTTTTTTTCTCCACGTTATACTATTAACAAGCAATAAGTGACTACGTGAAAAATATACAACTGCTTAAGTTTGTAAGCTAATCATATTCGTTTAAACATGTAAAATGTTTACATAATTATATTTATCATTCATTGTAATTTCTTTTTATTAATTAATATTTTTTTAAATATCAATTAAATAGTTACTAAAAATTGTCTATGGTTTCATGCTCTTTTTTATCAATGGTTGGTGGCAACACCGCGTTGGCGCGAAAAGGATTCGGGATGGTGGTCGAACCTTTGAGCGTAGAAAAAGGATATTATACTTACTGTCAAAAGGAATTGTAAAACCAATAAAGAAAGAGTGCAGTTGTGAGTTAACCTGTGTTTAGTTTTCAAGTTCTAATGTAATTTGTGTATGTTACAGACGGACTGGCGATGTCGGAGGTGCGCGGGTGCTGCGTTCGACCCCCGACTGGAGCGACACTGCCATCAGTGGCGAGCACCTGTGGTCGCCCACCTCAGTGTCCGGAGATTGTTGCTACGTCGGTGATGCCGAGTGCCAGGTAAAGATAAATCATATGTTAACTATTGATAACATATTAAATATGAGGGATTTTAACAGCCGGGTACAATCCATTATGGGTATTTGGGTGGTATTCCTATACCCCATCCCAGTCGCGGAGAACCTAACGGGTAACCGGGGCTCCGGCTCGACGTGCAGGAGAAGGAACGGGGTGGTTTTTAGTCAGTAAGAGTCTGACACTCCCTCCCGCCTCACCCAGGCGGGAGCAGTCATTCGATGATTTTCCCCCCTTAAAAAAAAAAATACCCCATCCCACCTCCACCCCAAATACACCTTTATCATACGCGTTAAAATGGCAATTTAACAGGTTCAGGTTTATTAAGGTCGTCGCACACCTAACAATCAGGGCACCGGCATCCGGCTGAACTCCAACCCAGCAATTAACTCATTTAAATATCAACTTTAAATCGTATGACATATTTCATAATGTTAATATAAAAAGCTGTAAGCCGCCGCCCGCACGCCGACGGTGCGCTTATAACCTTTCTGTATTGTTTTCAAAGAAAAAAACGCCGTGTTAGTGCCGTGCTTGAACCGTACCGCAGCCGTGCTAATTAGGTGATCACTTTCAAACAGCACTGCTGTCCGGTTATAAAATAGTAACTAAGTCGGCTCTTACGAACTCCACACGAAAGGTAGTAGAGGTGACCATATTATCTACCATACGACCAATACTTACAACATAGAATAGAGAGATAATAAGTTACTTTAGTAGTAGTTAAAGATTAAGTTCATAAATTGCTTACACAAACTGAAAGCATAGACATATACACACAGATTATAATTTGATTATATAGTACACCGAAAATAAGTAGTTTTTTATATGTGAGTGGACTGCGTTAGACCACTAAGTATCTCACCTGTGCCTTTAGCCAAACGCCACTTTAGCGCTTGTCTACTGAGAGAGTAGAAAACTAAATGTTTGGAGATGACACTGACAAGTGTTAAAATTTACGTCAATTCCATATAATTTGGTTTTCTATTCTACAAGTAGACAAGCGCTAAATGGCATTTGGCTACAGCTGCTGGTGGTAAGCGATAATGCGGCCTAAGGTGGAGCACGTCTGCCCATAATAAGCAACTTATTCACTCGGTTTCTATATCCTACCTCCTTACTCTTACTCCCTTGAGATATTAAAGGGGTCTCATATCATATAAATATTCCAAATAGATGTTTGTATAACCTAATGCCCTATCATGGCACTAGGTCATAGAAACAGTTAGTATTCAGTATTTACCCAATATTTGAATACAAATATTATGATAGTGTTAGCATGAGCTAGGAAACGCCTACCTAGAATCTAAACAGATTAGAATAACATTACAAAGCATGGGTATGAATATTCAGTAATAGTTTTTAGGTTATGAGTTAAGTTTATATTCAGAATTAAGTACCTATAAGAAATTGCGTAAGTGCGAGTCGGACTCGTCGCGAACATGTCTTAGCATTAGCGTGGAGCGTGTTAATTCGTAGTGTACATAATTTTTGTGCGAAGTTACATGCTAGAGGTAGTCACATCCTGTAAATGTATGGTCTTGTGGTAACCAGTCATGACTACAATACGTCAATTGTGTGGATACGGTATCATGACGCAAATCTCTGTTTCACGCTCAAAATTGATCCCATACAATAGCCCACAAATCGGATGTTACTGGCGCCGGTCTCGTGTGTCGGTCGCAAACCTAAACTTGCCTTTAGTGTCTCTTCAAGATTACTCATATCTATTTAATGGCTATTGAACGACCCACAATCGGTTGTAAACGACAGTAATTAATAATCTCCGCAATGCAGAAAATACTTATTGCTTCTCAAAGAACTAAATACTTTTATAAGGGCTTGTCAGCATTGTTTGGGTCAGGATTTGCTATGAATAGTTCTAAGAAGTGTCTATAACGCAGTATTAATACCCGATGTGAGCTAGTAGGTAATCTCATAAATACTATATAGTTATAGTATGGTAGTTATCGTTACCGGTCTATGAACTAAGCACTATGGGCAATATGGACATAAGCTGCGTCGCCGGCTGCCGATATCGGTCCGATCTATTCCATGTAATAGGGGATGAGTCTATACACCGACTATAAATCTACGTCTATACTATATTAATTATTAATTATTTTTAGTACCTAGTAATTGGAACTTGGTCACCACCAGGAGTTAACAAATACAATAGCTTATAAGCAAGACATTATGAGTTTTATAATCAGTTCAAGCAAAGGGCTACTTTCTGACTTGTTCTACAAATACAAATAATGTTATTTATGTTGTCTATCAAAGTAGATTTTTCTCTACTCTCAAATAGGACGTAGAAACAAAAATCCTTAGATACGTTTGTATGATAATGCCTAAAAAGTTTTTTTTATATAACAGCAATAAAAACTGTAGACCATCACGCCAAAGCATATTTTTCATTGTTGAAGTTTAAAACGGGAACAAGGCAAGGACATCTCAATAGAGAGACTTTGAAACAAATTCCAGAAGTTTTTTGAAAACAAAAGAATTATACTTCCAAATCATAATTATACCTGCACCAGAATTGTCTAGATTATAAAGCATCCATTTCCTGTTATTTAACGTACATCAAATACTAAATACAGTGTTTTGTACGCAGTCAAATAATAATAGAGACATAATGATGGGCTATTCGAACGAGGAAATAAAGTTATGCATGGACAAAATTGTACACTTAGTTTATGAATTTGACCTTTTCTCAACCAGATTATGAACGACACTGAACATACCTAGGTACTGTAAACCTAACCTGAATTTGACTAAATGTTAATATTTTACATTATTGTTGGTAACTGCAGTAAATGATATTTACTCTGCACCATACAAATTACTACGGACTATAGGTACGTTACGTTACTCGGACATTTCTAGTAAGATCTTTTTAACTTTGGGTTCTAACCAGTTGCCTACTAAAGTAGTACGATTAAGTAGCACAGTGCCTTCAGAAAATCCCTAATTTGGTAAAATATGGCATAGACTTACCTATTCTACATGAATTTGTTACTAAAACCGAAAAATAAGTTCCGATATTATAACTCAACTACGATAATAATGATGAAAGGTCTCAATCATGCGAAATTAAGTCAACGATCCAGAATTTTCCAATCTTGCTATTCTCATAGGACCATAAAGTTAATCTAGCGCACGTTGTTGGATTAAATGGAGAAAATGCTACTAAGACAGAAATTTTTAGTCAAGGAACATGAAAATTTTATATTCTGCGTCATAAATAAAATAAAATCCTGACGTAACTTTACTTAATGATAAGTATATACTTAACTGCCGTACACGTTAAAAGCATTAGGCTTAATTTGACTACATAATTTCTGAAAATAATACTTACTGTTCCCGGCGATACCTACTATAAAACAATTGGTACCATAAAAGTAATATTAACATGAACTAAAAGCAAAAGCTTCTACAATTCAAATGACTACATTGTGACAGAAGAATCATCTTTGAATGACACGGTTATATTGAATAACAACAACACAATGAGTCTAGTAAATTACGTGACGAGCTGAGTGAAGTAAATTACCTGGCGGTTTAATGAAATTTTACGCAGAAAATACGTAAACCGTCAAAACACGTTTTTTATTTTTCTACAGTTGTTATAGGAATCTCAGACCAGTACAAAGATAAATTTTTCTTTCAATCTTCCATTCTTTATTTTTCTATTTTCTTTGGTAGGAACTTCTTTGTATCGCTATGAATAAAGGCATTAACATGAAAAATCTATTGAAGTTTACAGCATGATATAAAGTATCTCGACTCGCGTATTACTTAAACAACGCTAGAAGAAATGTAATTTCCCCAACAACCATTAGCAAGTTTCCTGCCTATTATGTCGCAGGTCGGTTGTAGTCGTACATAAGATTAATGACCCGATGCCACCATTTTGTTGTGGCGATGACCTGTCACAGTGAGTGCAACAAAAGGGTGTCTCGCGAGCCTCATGAAAGCAATCAATATGTAATTGTAACACCCTCGTCATTTACTCCAGGACAACATAAATACTTTGATGTGCTTGTTCCAGTACTTTGTCTTGTAACTTTTTCAAACTTGAGTAAAAGTTGCAATTTTGTCCCTAGCATCCTATCTTATGTGGGTACGTCCATAACTATGGATGTACATCATACGTATCTAACTAGATACCTTAATAAAAGTTTATCTTTGTTTCCGACCGTATCTATTTATAAGAATCTCGTGTCCCGAATTTAGAACATTGCACTGGGGATTATTGATTACCTAGATATTTTAGTTCGGTGTTACATTATCAGCAGTGAAACAATGCAGTTTTACTGTTTATATTGTTTGATGTTCCAATTATAGTACATTTCTTTTTTCAAACAATAGCATTGTATTCGTACTAAAAAAACTATGCTTTAAAAAGTTTATATTGTAACAAAAAAATATACCTACCTACAAAACACACGTACTGTTGATTTATGACACAAACATGTAGCATGTATTTAGTAATACAGTACATACATTTACATAATTTATTATTATCAAGATAAATGTAATAAAAAATTCGCAGTGAGAGTGCAAGACATTTTTGATGAGAATATTTATTTTAGGTCTAGTTTACAAATTCAGGAGCACCGCAGGACTAAGGTCACCGAGGCATTTACTAGGCGAACGTGCTCGGGTTACTAAAGTACCAGCTTGTAGACAATTTGCGTGTCCATAACACGACGAATATTTTTATTCGATGAAATAAAAACTAGTTGGTCATTTAACATTATTCCTGTACACAAAATTATAGTAGGGGACGTGATTGCATGCTAACCTATGATGCCGACTAACCAAACATAATTACTTGCCTAGCGCTACTAATGCTTGTAATTAAATGGTATAGCTACAATGTTCCGCGCTAATTGGATCTATTTAGTGAGGTATCATACACAGGACTCAAGTAGTTTTAATTAATTATTAATGACTTTTATTAAGATACCAAGTAATGTTATCAATGTAGGTAGTACATAGGTGATATCATTGCATTTTTGAAAAAATATTAGGCTTCAGTTTTATAATTCCGTGGTCTAAAAGCATGGATGTTTGCGTCCAATATATTATGTATGTAAATACAAACATTATGACCTATACGCCCACAATAATATGGGACTAATAACATAATTGAGGAAAAGTGGTTCTATCAGGAAACAAATTCTAATGTTGAAATGTTAAAGTTCAATATAATTTTGATGTAATCATTGTTTTGACGAAGAAAACTCAAAATAAAATTTGTTTCAGAAACATGGGTCTCGTATGAAGTGTTCGGCATGCAAGATCGTCGCGCACACAGCATGTATCGACATACTGATGGACCGTGTGCAGTTCACGTGCAAGCCAACGTTCAGGGACGTGGGAGTCCGGCAGTACCGGGAGCAGACCATCACTCATCACCACTGGGTCCACCGCCGCTCAGAGAAGGGCAAGTGCAAGGCCTGCGGTAAGGTGAGGGCCGCAATACATGTTGCTTACGTCACCGGTCTATGTTGTGCTCTCATAAGGAAACGGCTGTTTGTTTAATGTTTGTTTATATCCAAATCTACCTTCTATGCCCATAGTAGTCGGGTATACTTTGAGGATTTTTGTAATGTTATGAGAGTAGATTTCTAGATAAAAAGAAGCGAATTAGAAGACGGATAGATGGTTAAAACATTACTGTGCATAAAGATTGCGTGTTCTTAATAGATCATCAGGTTATTACTAATTTAACTATGCATGATAATGATAATGAACTCTTCATTCATTCAATATTTCACATTATTTGTTTACGACAGAATAATCATCAAGTAGATCTGTTATTGTTGTTGCTAAAAATTAGATTGATTTACTGATTAGTTGGTTTCAATTTACTTACATTCTCAAAGTGATATTTATAGTGATTTATTTCGAGCAATGTGAGGAAAATAATACCTTGTATTTCTGTACTTAAATAAAGTGACAAAGTATATTGCAGGCACTTAGGTACAATGTTGAACATAAACGATGTAGACAATAACTTTTCGTTAAGTAGGTATTACAGCCATTCGATTTAATAGCCATATGTGTCACTGTAAGTACCTAATAAATACCAACAGTATATAAATCATGATGTACAATAGGAAACCGCCACGGCAACAATATTTACTTGATTTATTTTTATAATACATTGTTATATTCATTTTGAATACATATTAAGTCGATAGTGTTTTTAATTTCATCTTCTGACATTTTTACATCAGTCGTAGATTAGCCATTAATAATTGAGCATTTTCGTATAATTGAATTTTTTGATTTGAATCACCAATTAATTGATAACATTGTGCACAGTAGGTAAATGCGTTTCTGATTTAGCTATTATTTAGAGTGCTAGTGGCTACCTAGTTAGGCGCTGATAATATTATCAGGAAAATTAAATCAGCCGTTTTCATTATGATTGTGGTATATGGGTCAATTTGGTACTGTAATTAACCTGTGTGAGTGTTTATTTTATTGTTTCGTACTAGTTTTATCTAGGCCAGTATTCCACTGTCGTTAATAAATAGTACTATAACTAGATATATGCCATTTATGACGTCATATACCTACGATTAATTTACGAATTATGTATTTGGTTACTTATTGGTGGTAGAATACTGAACCTAACCCCTTTAAAGTCATCATCTGTGTTAGCTACCCCGTAATAGTATTTTATCATGATTCACATTCATTTCATTGCGCACACAATTTTTTTTTTGCTATTAGTTGTTGGATACCTAAGAAGTAGTTATTCTTATAAACTGTTCAGTTTAAATATATATCATTCTATAGATAGCTAAGATACCTATTACAAAAAACGGATATAGCTGAACGAAACGATGAGTCCAAATTATAATTAAACCTGGCATAGCTGCAAATTATTTATAATTTTTTTTTATTCTCTTTTATTTGGTAAGGGGTTTTTATCCACATGGATATGTCAACCCCATTGTAACTTATACACTATTTTCATAAAATTATTAAACACCTGGTGTTAACACTTTTCGTACTTAAAACTATGCTTTTGCCTATACGAAGGGGATTTAATGCCTAGAACTCTTTATTAGGGTAGAAATAATGCATTTAGACATGTTTGATTTAGGGTGAGCTAAAATATTTTGCATAAGTCTAATCCCACAGGTATTTATAATTTACATATCTATTGATAACTTAAATCTAAAGATATTGTATTTCATGTTTGTGATATGTGTCGATTATACAGACAAAAATTGCCCTTGTAATCTTTGATTTCATCAGCAATATTATTTTCTGAAGAAGCGTGAGAAATTTATAAAAGAAGTTACATACGTAATCAAAAATGACTCTTTGATATGTGTGTAACCTCCATACTAGTTTACTAAATTCTTGTGTCCGTTGTTGTTACTCTAAGATTCATATTATGGAAGAAAAAGTGGGCATTCACTGAAAAAGTTAAAAGTTAAAGTTAGCTCCCACATGAAACTAGAGCGGGCAGTTTTTTTTATAAATATCGGGTTTTTCGATCACAAAAATTTCAATAGTAGTTATTGGGCTTGTGTCCACAGGGATCAAGCAATAAGTTTATTTTTTATTACCTAGTACTCGTAAAACCTCGCCAAGCCTTTGACTACCTCTTTGCAAAACAAAGGTGTAATATTATTTGTGTACACTTGCAAGGACCAATTTTATTGTTTGAAATCAGTAGCAGCTGTGTAGATAAAAAACGTAATATATATAATTTTCGCAGAAATTACAATGCCGAGATTTTAATTTAATTTTCACTCTGAAAAGTAGGTACTGACAGAAATACTGTAACGGATTTCGTACAATAAATAATTTATGAAAATATTTGTATAACGAATACAAGAACAACAATCATAATTTCCTTATTGTTTAGCCGTTTGAAGGACAGTACGTGAGTTAAATAATTTAAACGGAATCAGATTATGACAAATTCCGCATGACTGGGGCTTAAACGAAGGAAAGACATTGTAATGTATTTTACTCGGTTGTTTTTATTTATAAAGAACTTTAAATGATAACGATTATTTTATGATATCTAAGTAAACAAACATAACATCAGGCCTTTTATCCCCGAAGGGGTAAGCAGAGGTGCACATTACGTCACTTAATGCCACTATACAATGTAAAACCCACTTTTCACTATTTATGTTATGAGTGCCATATAATAGGGGTGATCCTATTGCCATTTACCGGGTACATTTCCAGACTCCGTGCTACTACTGAGTTTTTTTTAAACCCAGTAGTATTTTGCCCGACCGGGGAATCGAAACCCCTTGCCCGGCAGTCGCACTTGCGACCACTTGGCCAATGAGGCAGTCATTTCATTTTGATATCTAAGTATTTCATTGATAAAGACATTAATAAACGCAAGCTTGGATATAACCTTCCAGCTTATAAAAACGCCGCAACAGGTCAATATCATAATGATCGAAAGGATTACTCATGAATAAATAACAATAGGACATTATATACCTAGTTATAATTTACTTTGTTGAATAATACCACGCTTTACCAGACGCTCAATTAATTTTTGAAGGCCAGAGAAATTGATACTTGTGTCAGTGGTACATCTGGGGAATACGCGATTAGTTAATTACAGGATCAATGTAGTCTGTAACAGAACCTAACGCTTAGTAATTACTCACATACCTATGTATAAGCTTAACGTGGATTAATATAGGGTCTGATTAATAGTTAATGGTCCTTGCTACAATTAAATGAGCTAGGTCGATCATCTCCTCCACCGGAGCATTCATTAATATGTATGGTGTATGCTGCGAGTGGTCGAGATGGTGCCGTGTAATCACAATTGTGGAAGTTAGCCACCAGCCACCAGACGTTACTATTACATTAAAGAGTACTCAGACCACTTAATTGAGTCTTTAATTATTTAAGAAATCGATAAAGACCATTGTGTTCGTCGAGTAGCTATTTAATGGGCAAACTTTTTCATTGTGTACCTACGTACTTTATTCGACGACTATTGGAGGTTAATTACATAGTAAAACGTGGGTTATGGCAAACAAACGTTTAAAGTCGTAATGCCGTATATTTTGCTAGGTAATCGTCACGGACGTATCCTGGGTAAGCACCCGTCCGCATTCAACATCATAAAAACGAATGGTCTTGATGGAGATTAAGACAGTTTTAATTAAAATTTTGAAAACTTTTATGCCAAACACTTTTATGAGACATGAAAACTGATTGCAGCTCATATATTAACATAACTTATTATTACATTGGTATTTTATGAAGTGTAGATAAAAGGATTCGTGTAGGTCCTTTTATGACAGAGTCAACAACAATAATATATAATAGGACTCTACTCTAACTTGTCACTTAGCTACATACGCATAAAATAAATAATTCCACTATTAATAAAATATATATGAAAGTCCCATGTAGGTTATTTTACGATAAAAGTTATAAATATACAAGTGAACTACCACGTAGCGGAAGTGTTGTATTACCATAGCAAACAGTACCGAACTACGAAAAAAGTTGGTACCGTGCTACGAAAATAAAAAGGTCACACTGACGGATAACTTTTTTTTACCCGGCTTGCTAGAGTTGCGAAACGTCCGGCTTTGGCGGACATGTTTTGACTTTTACATCAGCTGAAATGGTACAGCTCGAATGAAAAGGTCCACCTATTTTTAAATAGACATACATATATGTATACTACAGAACTCTGTAAAAAACTCCACATGATTGTGGCAAATGATTTTCATATGTACCTACATTATGTACAACCCGATCAGTGTTTAATATAAAATTCATGCCTCCGAATAAAACCAACGTATCAAAATTGTTTTGGAGGACTTTGTAAATGTTTTATGGACTTTGGTAAAAAGCTGAACCATTAAACGACTTTTTAATTAGTTAAGCCTTGATACTCTGATGCCTTGTAAACCCTAAAAACTCGTACATAATAAACAACTGTTAAATCGAATTTGACTGTCTTCAAACTGTCGAACCCCGAATAAGACGTCAAAATAAAGCTCAAAGTTAGCATATTCGCATATATATCTGTCTAATGTAATCCAGATTAGCCTAATACATTCCCTCTATCTCCTTGAGATCGTGTACGTTTGCCTGACAGCTGCTTGGTTCTTGACACGTTTTAGTGTAATTAGGATAGTTCTAACTTGGATAGGTTAGCTTGTAGCTTGTGGAAATTAGAATTCCAAATAAATAGAAACTTGTTAGTTAAGGTTTGCCGAGCTAATCACTAACCTAACACATTCAGTTTCAATGCGTACTACTTATATAACTGGATTTTCAATTCTCTAGCTTTATTACTCCTAAGGGCCAATGGGGGTGTTATTATTGCCTATAGTCGCAAAACATTATAACAGTTTTTAATACTTACATACGATTAGTAACGTTTCTTAGTAGAATTCTATGCACACCTGTTGAAGTCTCAGTTTGAACAATCCAATTACTTAATAGCATTGAATTAGAGATTAAGTTTTAAAAAGCTTAATTAAGTTACCCCTACAGTTAACTTTTAAACAAAGTTTCCTTTGTATAGATGCGATTTTCGATTATGATTGCTAACTTTCCTAAATGTGATATTATCGCGAGCCACAAGCCCTCCATTCAAATAATTTGACAATGTTATCTCTAAGCATAAATAGATAAGTTAACGAACGTTATTATATATTAGTTGATTTACGGTATAGTAATGAATAGTTTCAGTGTGTACCTACTGGTTGGACCGAAATATTGTATGATATAACACAGTAGCTTTTAGGTGGACGCAGTGCGGTGTAGCCGCGTGTTTAATGAAGTGACTGTGGTGCTTACGGCTGGCGGCCCTCACTCGGGGCGCCACGCGGTTCTGTCAAATGATTTGCATCTACATCTACATATGTAGCACGAATAAGCCCGACATCGCATGCGACACGTTACCAACTCATGACACATGAACGCCGCGTCGTGTCGGTCGCGTCGGTCGGGCAGGCCGCGCTTTCGCTCAACGCGAAATTAAAACTTCATTTTTAATGATGTGTTACCATATTGCTCGCATCGTAGGTACTTGTACAGCCTGCACTCTGCACAATATTGAAATACAAACATTTGTACGTTGTGTTTTGTGGTTGTTCATTACGTACTATTGTTGGTTTAATGTTATATTTTATACATTAAAAACGCTTTGCGTGTAGGTTTATTACTTGATTTACCAAGCTTTTAGCTGTTAGCGCTATTGTTATTCAGATTCATTTGTTATTATCAAAGGTTAATGACGTGAATAGTTTAATCCGACAACTGCTAATTTATTCAGTTAATGTTTGGTGTTTTGTAATGCCATGACATAGTCTTGTATTGGTTTCAGTTTCATGAATTCATGGTAGAGAGGAGTATCATATATCATTTGTTTTAACATTTATTGTCACTGTGTTAATTTTATGTTGCTATTGTGGCTTAATTTGTGTGTATCACTGATTCATTGCATGTGTGTTGCATGGTTGTTTTGTTGTCACAGTCATTCCGGCGCAGCTGCTGTCGGTGGTGCATACCAACTCAGGACACTGTAGACAAGGCTATAGGAGTAGACAATGGTGAAATTGTGAATGTGCGTATCCCAATATGTTGCTCGCAGGTGGAGGCCAGGTGCTCAGTACAGGACGGAATTATCTTGTTACACCTGTATTCCTGAAATGAGATTAATGATGGCTTTTATTGAACAAAAGCAAATGAAAATTTATTATCTTAGTAAGAGCAATATCAATGAAACATCTGTATTAGGTATTTCTTGAATTTCTCGTTTAACAAAACTTTTTCAAAGTTATTGTGTATGCCTCTTTATTTATATTGAAACTAAGAAACTAATTTCGGGAATGTTGGTAATGAATAAAATATCGTACCTGTATATTAATTGTTGCTTGCTTTTTGTTAGGAAATCGTAGTAAGCTAACAGATTTGTTTATACATGTGTTATTGTTCAGAATTTGTTCTTATTTTATGTTTTCTTAACAGTCGCTGCAGGCTAAACTATCATTTAGCTCGAAGGAAATCGTTGCCTTGACTTGTTCGTGGTGTAAAGACGCCTACCACAACAAAGAAAGTTGTTTCAATCTCCAGCGGATAGGAGAAGAATGCTCATTAGGTACAGTATTAACGATTCAAAACTTTTGTCATTATAATATCGCTTTGTTCTTTGAAATAATACAATTTTACTAAAATGTTTACTTTTCCTTTAATAGGATCGCAAAATAATATAATAGTACCGCCGTCATGGATCGTCAAGTTGCCAAGAAGAGGTAGTTTTAAGTCATCGCTAAGAAAATCGCCTAAGAAAAAAAGTGCTTCCAAGAAAAAAGGAAAAGATTCTAAAAATGAACAGAAAACGTTCGTAATTAAGCCAATTCCCACTGCGAGCGTAAAGCCAGTACTAGTTTTTATAAATCCGAAAAGTGGAGGCAACCAGGGAGCGAAGTTGTTGCAGAAGTTCCAATGGCTACTGAATCCACGACAAGTATTTGATCTCACACAGGGTGGACCAGGACCTGGGTATGTTATTATTTAGCAAATAATTACAACACAAACAGTATTTACTATCTACTGAAACTACTACTTTCCCTTACACAACGTCCCCTTAAAAGGTTCTCTAATAAAAACGACGACATTAACAGGTCACTAAACTTTAAAACGAAAGGAAATACAATCAAAGTAATGACAATCATTTTCCAAATCGAGTGCCTCCGGTACATTGTTTAGCATAAAGAGACAAGGGGCAATAAGAATTAGATAATCTGTGCAGAATGGTAGCACAAACTACCTCCGCCGGCCGACCTGACAATGCCAATAATAGGTCTGACCCATTAAAATGTAAGGCCGGTATGGTCCGGTTGCATCATTCGCCTTGTTTAGTCTTAACAAAACGTTCTGTAGGACGTCATACTAATGGGGCTGGGACGTGGGGGAACCTCCTTGTCATCTTAACGGTTACACCTCTAACACTACTAACACGGCTCCTTTTTGAGTTTTAGGTCAGTTTTCTGGTTATTTCTTGCTATGTTTTGGTTTTACAGAGTTGTGATTTTTACTTTTTCTGACTTCAAAAAAAACGTTGATCATGCCTTTACTTCGATAAAATGAACTTAAAAAATACTCAGAAAGATAAAATTCACTAAGAATTTGATTTAGGTACTTGAATAACCCCACTCAATTACGTAATTCTACTTAATTAACCCCAAAATAAAGTTCTTTTATAATGTTCGTATATTGTTTTTATAGTAAATGTAGATTTTACATATCAGTTTCATTTCAGCCTGGAGCTATTCCGCAAGGTGCCGAATCTGCGCGTGCTGGCATGCGGTGGCGACGGCACCGTGGGCTGGGTGCTGAGCGTGCTCGACCGCATCGGGACGCGGCCCGCCGTCGGTGTCCTACCGCTCGGCACTGGGAACGACCTCGCGCGAGCTCTTGGCTGGGGTGGCGTAAGTAACTTAATGATGTGTTACTTACTTACTGTTTAACAAATTTCAAAAAATAATGATTTATAAGTACTTACACTGACTTTTACACAGAATTTTAAAATACAAAAACTCGATAATATTGTTCTTGGAGTATCGAACTCGTGAACCATGTAATTTCAAGACATATCATTCACATCTGTTACTTTATATTGAAAATTTCAAGCAATGTATTCACTGAAAAGCAATTTTACATAGGTAAGTATACGGACGAACCAATACGATTGAAATGGTGCGTAGATAAAGATCAAGCAATGCAGGCTTTTAAAAACAGCGGTTGTAAAAGCAGAAGCCGTATATGTAGGTAATGAATGAGTGTGGAGTCATGTCGGCGGGTGTTATTATGACGTTATCGTTGTCCATGCCTCGGGACAGGAGTGTCGTGCGTGAAAAAGTAAAATAAATTCGTCCTCGCCCCGTGGGAACCGTACAAATGCTTAACCGGGTATAACGTACGGCATTTACTAAATATACACCTAAATGGCCTGACACAACTCATATTTATTTTGTTTGCTGGTGCCACAACACCGAAACAGTAGGTTAACAACGTCGAGTATCAAACAAATACAAACAAAAACTTTGTCGTAAATTAATTAGTTGGATTTCCAAGAAACTTAATTTGATACTCTAGAGACTTTTTGATCCCGAAGTGGTTTAAATTTGTTCACGTAGTTTCTTGCAACTGAGCTTACTTAAGGCAACCGCAGACTTTCTCAAAACTACAACAGCGACAATTTAAGCTTAAATAATGTCTGGAGAGTTTCGACGTAAGTCGTGTTTATTCTACCTTAAAATAGTAACTGGCGTCCGCTACATATGTACACACATACAGCGACATTTCATTTATACGATGTACTTACACGTTATGTTTTACTACTACGGGAATTTCTTGTCCCAAATTATTTCAAAAGTTAACTCATAAACATGAGCGCTCTTTTACAATATTTAAATTCAATCCAGAATAAAAACAAGTAGGAGGTACGCGTTTTCTTCAAATGTTTATTAAATTCATAAATATTTAGCTACCCTGCTGACGGAGAAAAGTTAAAATACATTAGGTATTTTCCGGACGTTAAAATTAAGGGGCGCCGACTTGTTATTCATAATTTATTACATATACATTCGTCAGTATGAGTTGAGAAAATCAAAAGAAAAGGTATACCTATGCTATGAATATGCAAATGCTATTATTACTCGATGTCGCTTGATGTACGACAATGTGTTTTAACGAGGCCATAAACAAACTTTATTACATTGTTCATGAAAATGTTACTAGTCTGCAAAACAACAAACAAACTCCGTTCAGACTCCGGATTTGTACAATATTCTTTTATTGTTATGCTTCTCAAATGTTCCAACATTTTCACCCTCGTTGTGTTTATTCGCCGATAATTATCAATTAACCGCATAATTTCCTTTTACTCTTTGGCGCAATGTATGATCGTACCATTTTGCTCCAAATATTTGTCAAACACATAGTACATACATAGTATTACGCCAGCGCAAAAAATTCGTAGTAAATATAACAAAACGAAGGCTGAAACAAAGGTTTCAGCCAATGTTTAAACTTAACCAAATAAAGCCTTAGGAGCTTAAAACTAATAATAACAAACTAATTCTAACATTTTGATCATGTAAAAGCATTGAAGCATACTGACTTGTACAAATAAACTAATTAGGAGCGAAATAAGTTGCGGTGGAAGTAAACAAGATTGTACTTAAGTAAATCTCCTTAAATGGCGGCGCCGAGGTAAGAAGTCTTACGCTTGGCTTGCTGAGGCAACAAGGCTAACGCATCAGCTTTATACCGCGAACAAACAACAATACGGATTGGCGTGTTAGAAAGAGCTACAACAGCGCTACATTGTTATAAAATTACCCCTACTAATATTGATGATAACATTACGCAGCTTCGCATTTACCCAACGGTTATTATATTGGTGTCCACCCTATAAACGTACCGTACAGGCGAGATTAGCGTAATCATTATCATTTAGGCAACAGGAATTAAGGTCGCTTACATATAAAATTTCTAGTTTGTTGAACATAAAATATTAAGTAGGTACTAAGGGAATTAAATTGATAGGGAAGTATATTAAATGCTATCAAGATGTACTTGTTTGTGTATAATTTAAAATTAATTTAGGTAAAATGTATTGTAATCTTTCATGGGAATTGGTATTTGATGGATACAGCAACCGTAAAAATTAATGTGGAAAGCTAAGTAAAAACATTGAATTACTTATTGTTTGCTGAAAACAAAAAGCTTTGTAAATTTAACAAGGAGACAATAATAATTTGGCTATGTTTGGAACAATATTATTACAATAAAATATGAAATTGATCTATCCATAGTTGGATGACGTATAAAACATGTCTACTTTTCAAATAATAAAAATACGAGGCGTGTGGTAAACGCGTAAAGAATTGAGTTCATAGCACTTCAAATGTCTATTTTGTGTCACGTATCAAATATTTTAGTACCGCTGGGTCCCTAATCAGCCATTTGAAAAAGTAACGAAGTACTGAATAAGTAAATGTGTATTTATCACCCGTCAATTACCCCAGTACTCGCCCCAAATCCCACTTGTATCGCAACAGTCGTTTGTCTGGAATACTTATTTAATATTCATTAGTACTTTAATCTACATAGTTATTCTATGATGGCAATGTTTTCGGCTCACCTAGGTAAATGGGTATTTTAGGCAACACCAAATAACAATACATCCAACTGAAAAGGTAAAAAACCTACTTGAGGTTTGATTTAGCTAAACGTAGCTTAGTGCCTTAGAAACTGTACATTTTTCAGCCTGCATTGTAAAACCTTATCTTTTTTCAATGTAATTAAGAAAAACATAGCGCTCACCACCGTTTGTGTAAATTCCCACGCAATGTGTGAGTCAGTAGAGCGAAATAGGTTACACAAAGTTGAATTAGCATTGCTTTTCACCCTCGAACCTATATTTTAATGCTATACAAATTGGTTTTTCGATTTTCGACGGCGGCGACGTAGATAAAGGGCTTAAACCTAAAATCTGGGATACTTTTACTTGGTTTCCTCGGAAATTACTTTGAGGATTGTCTTCAATCTTGTTTGCTTTGTTCTAGGGTTACGAAGATGAACCAATTTCGAAAATTTTGGCGAATATCGGTGAGAGTGATACGGTGTTGCTGGACCGATGGGAGCTGAGCGTGGTGCCTAACACTGCAGCTGCCGGAGAAGACACCAGTAATGCGAAGCCAGAACTACCACTCAACGTCGTTAATAATTACTTCTCATTTGGCGTTGATGCTCACATAGCTTTAGAATTTCATGAAGCGAGAGGTGAGTTTGCAAAAGCCTTACATATCATTTTAATTGTTATCTCATGTACTTACATACAAAGTGAAATTGAATTTTACTTTCTGAATACAAATATTCATTCATGCTGCTATTTTTTTCTATTTCGCAATAAAAATAGAATTTCGCAATAAAAAACTTAGACCGACTGTGGAAACGGTCCAGCCATTTTTATTATTATCTTGGAAACGCATTCATCACAATTAAAGCTACTCTGTAGTCTGTTCATCATTTATGTTTTATTGGCCTTGCCATTAAGCTAAGGAAGCAAGTCCATGATAGTATAATAATATTCCTAAGGTCTTTGAATAATACTGCTGTTATTATGCTCCTGGTTTTAGCCAATTTCCTCTTTCTGTTTAAATTCTTACTTCATCTCCGTCTGAGGTCATCGCAATTAACTGCCTTTTTTATCTAGCTATTATTTTATAAAAATCTAGATAATTTTCCTCAAGTTTACAATTTCCTACAACGTTTTTAGTTTATTTAAGTTTACTTTAACTTAATAAACATACTGGTTGTATTCTACACAATTCTATTTATATTTAACCTTGTTATTACGCGACCTAAATATTTTTGGAATTGTCGTTTGTTAGTATCATAAATAAAGCCAAGTTGTACTAGTAGTAGTACTGGGTATTTGGCAAAAGGTACAGACAAAATTAATAACGCAACTGAACGAAAAGTTGTATGTATTGTAAGAACACATCGGCCTACGACAATAAATAGGCAAGCTGTTGCGTCGCCGCACCTAAAACTTTTAGACTGAAGACAAATAAAGAAGAATTCCGAGCAATAGCGTGAATTATAAGGCTCACATTTTGTATGTCAGAGTGGTATGCAAAAATAAACCCATTGACCTCTTTGCATTACCACAACTTAGTCATGCACGAGGCATATGGTGACACGTATACTGTGCTGTATAATAACAGTCTCCGAGTAATTATCCATACTTACCATAAAACACTACAACCACGAACAAGTACACGTTATAATTAGCTTAATAACAACTTTTATGTAATAGTAGTTATTTTGTAAGCTCCTTATATTATTACAACTAATTCTGTTAGGCAGATCACAAAGCAATTACGGTTCACAAGACTATTTTAGTTTTACTGAATGTAGGTTTCACGTTTATAAACTGTAGTGAGCCTCTCTCGCTCATCAAACTTTGTGAGAACTCATTAGGCGCTAGTTAGCAATTCGGGCGGGTTTATGCGACCGTCTTGTATAAAGTATTTTTCTTATGAATACCAAAATCCTTGAGTTAGTTCTTACTTGGCTAAGTACTTAATCATTTTGCCTTTAGTTCCACGATTGACTGGCTGCCTTGTTTAATAAATAGGCACCTAAAAGGTCAATATGTTAGGTCTCGTAGCACCCAAATTTCTTCGCTATTTTCTAGTTGTACTATTCGAATGTAAAGTGCGGACAACACAAGCTGTGCTAAATAAATGTGTTTGTGTTTACAATAACCAGTTATGATACAGTTTATTGTTTGTACATAGTTCTGTTCACCATAAACACATGTCTTTTTGACTGTAACACAGAGGCGCACCCAGAAAAGTTCAACTCTCGAATAAGAAATAAGCTGTTCTACGGTACTGCCGGAGGGAAGGATCTCATGCAGCGCAAGTGGAAGGGTCTTGCCGAGTTCGTCACGATGGAGTGTGACGGCAAGGACCTGACGCCAGTGCTCCGGGAGCACAAAGTTCATGCCATTGTCTTCTTAAACATTCCAAGGTCAGAACAAATCTCATTTATGAAAGTGTATTTGTATTTTCTACATGTACAAGGTACAACCCAACTGTCGACTACATAATGCATGAAAGAAATTCTGTCATTTGCGAAATTGCTAAAAGCAATTTTCTTATAGCATCGTTTTAAATAAAAAATACAAAGTCATCCATAATACAGAAATCTATTTATTTATTATCCATTTTAATAGAGGAAAATAAAAACTTTCTGTAGGTACGCGAACATCTTCAAACTTTACTGTAGCTATCGTATAATAATTTATAAGCTTAGCAACTGTGAATGTTTTTGCGTCTAGTCAAAATACATTATAAGTAGGTATTGACATGTCTTTATTGTTTACAGCTACGGTGGTGGGACGCACCCTTGGAACAAGTCAGGGGGAGCCTTTGAACCCTCCACTGAAGACGGCTTAATAGAAGTAGTCGGATTAACCACTTATCAATTGGTAAGTCGGTGTCAGATCCATCTTTGAAGTGTTTGAACTTACACGAGTACTTTGTACTACGTTTAATCTCAGCCTATTACAAAATCATTACAATTTCTATAAACGTGCCACATCACATACAGAAATACGAGTGAATTTTTCTCAGTAGGTATAAAGTTATTAGTTTATCTATAGGAACCCTTACCTTTGCCCATTCCGTGGGTGGGTATAATCCTGCTTGTCGTTTATTGCCAGACCCACGCGTACAAATAGGTTATTATAGTCACAGAGTCCGTTCAATTTGGATTTCATTTTTTACTATTGATTTCTTGTTATTTCATAGGAGTTCTTTAAAGTTTAAAGCTATTTTGTCATTGATTACGTTGCAACTTTTATTATATAGTAATATTTTTCTTATAAATAAGAAGCAGCTAGCAATTTAATCTCAATTTACTTTAAAAATATTCATATTTTCCTATTACGAAAACGATGCACAATGTTTTAGAAACTACTAGTGCACAGTAGAAAATATTATAAGAATAAATTCCGCATACAAACAGCGGAATTAAATAGCAATATTGCAGTAGCCAGTAAATTGCTCCTTAGAAACTAGTTCAGGGATACCTCGTACGTATGTATGTACCTAATATTATATAATGTGTAACGAAGAGATATTCTGTAATCTTGTTGAGAGGAAGAAGAGGTTTTCTTCGGTAAAGGTCGTAGGTCCCAACTATTTAAGCTGAGTAATATTAATGGCTGATGTCATCTCGACAGCTTACTTTGTTCTTCCAAATCTTATCTTGTTAAGTATGGATTTTATAATTTTTCTAATGAAAAGTTAAGCCATTCAAAGTAGTTTTTAGAATAGGTCAAATTGACAGTATTTCTTTGTTATTATCTTTATAAAATGAGTCTGTTGAGATGTGAAAGCACTAAACTGATTGGTGCATAATTCCTATACAGCCGTTATTACAAGCGGGAGGACACGGCACCTGCATCACTCAATGCAAGACTGCGAAAATCGTGACAACGAAGGTCATACCAATGCAAGTTGATGGGGAGGCGTGTCGCCTGGCGCCCTCTGTCATCACTCTCTCACGGCTCAATCAGGCCACAATGCTCGCCAAGAAGAAACCAGGCCGAACTATCGCCCCGTAAGTTTTTTTATGGCACACACCGACTATTTAGCAGACGGATCACCTGATGGTAAACAATCTGCCCAATAGAACCTACCCGCAACACCAGAGGAATTACAAGTGAGTACTTGAGTAGCCCCCCCTTTTACGAATTGGAGATAGGTGGAGAAGAAATTGGGCCTTCATAAATATTACGGAAGCCTTATTTCACGCTGATTTTCTGTTAGGCCGTGTTACAACTGTGGTCGAGTCATGCTAAAGCATTGCTCTTTCACATTAAGTATTATTTCCGTCAATTCGTAATAAAACCATGAACCATCTATTGGTTTCTAAATTAGACCACAGGGACTTAACCGCCTTTTTCGATCGTTGGTATTTTGCGGAAAAATATCTGAATATTGTAAAACGGAACCCGATATCCTAAAATTAGATTTGTTGCTTCAACTTTTGGAAGTTTGAAGTTCATAGCCGTGCTTGCCCATTTAATGGATTCAAATCGAAAATAAACCTGGCACGGGGATGTAAATAGTTTTAGAATAAATAGTATCTAAGGTGGCTATGACCTAAATATATTTGTTGCAGTCAAACTACAATGGACAAACTCACCCTCACAGTGAATCTCATAACGATGGCTGATTATGAGCGACATCATTACGACAAGGAATTACTCGCAAAGACAGGTAACAAATTTAATTATGCAATCCTTCAGTACCTACAGGTTAATTGATTAAACCAACAAAACTTCGAAGCCTTGACAGAGTTAACTTAAGAAATTGTATTATACCTACGTGCTATGATCATCCGTGCCGAAACTCGAAAACAAAGTTAAGCATTTAACTACTGCGTTTGAATTTAACCAGAAAAGTTTTATTGATGCCGATAAGATAAATCGACATTAATAAGGTTTGAATTCATTTGAACTGGAAAAGCCCCGCTGAGCTTTACGTTCACTTGTTTATTTCGCATCGATAGTTAGCGCCGAGTTAAATTCGATATCTGTTGTTTTCCTCGACGAGTACCGATCGACGCCAACTTACTCCACTCGAATAATTGCAACACAACATTTTAGCTCGCTACGGAAACTGTATGCTGCTTTTAACAACTTTAAACAGTGTTAAATTAAACACTTCAGTGAGCATTTGCTATTTTTCTATTAGGACGACTTCTATGGCATGTGCTCTATGACTTGGTAATTAAATCCATTCATTTTGGCATTCACATATTATATGAATGTGAAATTTAATAAATACTAAGGTTAAATAAATTTACTTCAGTATTGACAAAGATTAAGCCCTACTAACACTCATCCTAAACAGGAAAATACTCTGTTAAGAGCTAAAGTCCTTTGATCCCGCGGACTTTGTAAAAAAACAATGAATAAACAACCGCTGAAAGCAGCCAGTTAATGTACGTATAATGAAGTTCGTTTCAGAGTCAAAGTTTTAATGTAAAACCTTGTTGTGCTCTGTTTAAGGATGAGCTGTTTAAATTCACTTATAAATAATTAAATCTGATGACGTAAAGTTTTCAGTCTATCTCATTATTCTATTCTATCACTATTTAATATCAAAGACACACCTATAAAAAGTAAAATAAGACAATATAACTGTATTTAAAACTTTAATAAAAATAATCCTTGTCCGGTAGTCGAAATGCCAATAAATCTGATGGCAGATAAATTAATTTGTCCGGAAACTGATGAATGGACGTGGGGAATTTGGATTGCAGAGAGAAATTATGCGACAGACATTCTGTACATTGTAAATCATTGTAGCCTAGGTTCATTTAACATTTAACCGAGTGTCGATTAAAGTAATTTGTTTTGTTACAGCGGAACAGGTCGGCACTTTAGACGTGAACCCTGCTGCCGACTTAGAACAAATGCGCGGCCTCATTCAGAACATGATCAAAGAATCTCAAGCGTACTCGAACCTCACCGACTGGTGGTTTGTCGACTGTGAGTTTTTCTCGTTGCTTCCTTTGAGATGTATGTTCGAGCCACTTTCACATTTCTATACCTGGCATGTTGGAGAGAGCAACCTATGTGTTTTTATGTATGTACCTATCTCGATTGCCGTATATGACTAAACTTCGAGCTTGGAACACAACAAGACTCATTTTCGCTTAAGGGCACGAGTGAAAGATAATATAAAATTATAAAACAAACTCTTCAACTCATGGAAAACAAATGCTTATCTAACATAATGCTTGTATTCAGCTCCTCCAAAGTTAAAGAGCCTCTCTGAGGAGAACGGAATGCAAACATGTCCTCTCGTGTTCCCATTATTTTTAAAGTATGTCAAGAGTATTTCTCATGCTTATTTTCTTTTAACTCTGCATCTGTATGAAAGTACCTTTTATAATTTTCGTTACATATTCGTTGTATAAATACAGAATTACCCTTTACCGTACCTTTCGCACAGGTAGAAAGGTTATATTTACAAGTTGTACGATTGAATGAAAAGAATTTGGGTTATATTATACCTATCTGCAATAATTCGGAAAAAATGTTTTATGTGAACAATAATGTAAACGAACCCGCCACGTACCTACTTGTTCAGTTTTATTTAGAAATACTGAGAAAATATTTGTAAAGCTCTGAGTAGGTATACATTCTAAATCGCGAGCTTTACTTTCAAAAGGTTTTTGAATCTCATTATGAAAACATTAGTAGGCAGAGCGACTGCTAGGAATGAAGTATTACAATTGCGGGTAATTTTCCTTTAGCTGTGACGGCGGAGAGGTTCTTCCGTATAGACAAGGCGCAGGAGAACTTGCACTACCCGGCGGACATAGGGCACGACAACATGTACATCCTGGACGCGGCGCCGCACACGCCGCGCACGCCCGACACCGAGTCCACGGCGCAGCCCGACACCACGGCCACCGCCTCGCTCGAGCGCACCGCCGCCTCCGTCTCGCTCGACACCACCACCGGCCTCTCCGTCTCCCTCGACATCTCGCAGAGTGTCGACACGCCCAGTGCTGCTGTCTCGCTTGATGTGCCTGAATCTCATCCTTGGTGAGTCTTCTTAAGTTTTTTATACCACGACGGTGGCAAAGTTTATCTTAGTTAAACATTTTTTGCAGAAATTACGTCCACGTCATTTCTCTACATGCACAATTCTTCTTGAAATATCTAATTATACACTTTTGGACCTATAGTTTAATTTATAGAACTAAAAAAGCAAGATACCAAAACATTTCTAATTTCAAAAAGCAAGTATTCGCAAACGTGAACGACTCGCTGGATTGCACCATTTAATCTATACTCTCGTGTGACGGCAAACGAACCCAACTGCCCGGACGGTATTGCTATTAAACCGCCCTACGTGAAATTGAACATTCCGAACAAAATCGGAAAGTACATTTAATTCAATAAGTAATAAGTACTTAAAGTAATTAGAGTTTTGTGGATTTTTTGTGTTACCCGTTTTATACCAAAATAATTGTTTTTAAAACTGATTAACCTTATCCCCCTTGACGTCAGTTGTGGCCTTCGCCAACACTAATCCACTTGAATTCGCAACTCTTCAAACTCAGTCTATCCGACAAAGCAAGGAGCTACTAACACAAAATCCGATTTCAAATAATTCTGGGTAACTTCACGCGTGGCTTGCGATCTCATTCAGATTTTTTGCTGACTTCCTTTTGGGAAATAAAGATGCTAGAAAAGTTTTCGTTTACATAAATGTATTTGTAAAATTAGATCTTAGAGAATTTTTTTTGTGTTCTGAAAGTCAAACGTTTTTATATCTAATCATATTTTATTTACGTAGTGAATCGGGTTTCGGTAGTCCCGCGCGGTCTTCAGAAGAGTTGCTGTCGCCTCAGACGCCGCCGCCGAACGCGGTACCGACAGCCCCAACGACGCCGGTGTCGGTGCGGCCGCCGTCCCCGATACCACCGACCCCTACAAGTCCGGGGACAGGGCCGCCCGCTCCACTGAGCCCGGCGGTGGTGCAAACCGAGCCATTATCTCCACCACTATGTACTAGCCCACCCGCCAAAGACCACGAACCTACGACTGATTCAATAGCGCGGTTTAAAACGTGAGTACGTTTACCTTTGAAATCCAACCACGCCATAGTGTGCGCATAGATTTAGATGCAAATGTTTGAGCGCTTCTGTAATGCCGCGCTGTAATAAATGGGACAGCTGTGTTCCAACATTGATCCGCATATCTAGCTCTGGACACGATAACTTTGAAGCAGCCTTCTCGGGACACCAACAGGAAATATTAAATTAATTAGCAACGAAGAGCCAAAGTCTCTTTGCATAATCTTTAGTTTTAGTACAATAGCACTGTGTTATTAGATAGCCAACTAGCAAATTAAATAAATTCACCGGAGAATAGAATTCTGTATTAATGAATTCTTAGTAAGTGCACAATAACTTGGTTAGTCATCGGGTGGATGACGGGACCAGTGAGGATGTAGATACTACCTATAACCTTGTGTGATCACTATTCTGTTAGGGGTATCGCACAAGTATGAGCATTGGGGCACGATGCACTCTGGTTTGAAACTGAAATCTGCACTCTATCTCTTCTCTCTTCTATTGCATGCAGCATTCATGAAAAATTGTTTGGACTTGAGCAAGAAGTGTTTGGCTATAGGTGAGACTTACTTAGACGTAATAGCTATAGAATTAGTTCTTAGAGTTTCAGCGTCATCTCCATTCATATGTGCTCCTTTATCTTCCATGAATTTCATCTTCATAACATGTACCATTATCAAAAAGCAACCCCAATTTCAAATGGGAACAAAACATAAGCGTTTGTAGTAATTTGTTTTAAAATGGCATTTATTTTATAGGTAAATGGAATTAATTGTTCGTTTCATTCATTAAATCATAGTATTGACAGTTAAAGCTAACTCGACCTAATTTTATTGATACTACGAATTCTAACAATTTGCTAATAAATATCCACAAAATCCCTATAGAAAGCATTCTTATCTCGTTTCCCATCTTTGAACGCGACAGTCGAGCGGCCAGACTTACAAAACGTTTAATTTTATTTATCTTCTAAAAACTTGTTCAGTACTTACAGAACAAAGTAAAACCTTGGCATTGTTTCAGAAATTTATTGGAAAAAACATCTGATGCCCTGCTCAAAGCGGCCAAAGTCGGTGATCTGAAAATGGTGAGGAATTCATTCAAAGATATTTTCTTATTTTTATTTCATTTTCCTGATGGAAGAACAAAGTATAAAAATATTTACATCCGATTATAATATCTCGTGTAATGTTTTCAGATAGGTACTGAAAATAATTTGTTATGATTTATGAAACATTCTCGGCTACTCGTTTTTTATTGAAAGACAAATTGATTTAACACGGTGAAAAAATACTCATAGAAGTTAGGTATTCGCATCTCGATGAAAGTAATTGATAGATAGTGACTGATTTAGTCTGTGACTATTTAATGGTTAGCTATTAAAATACGTAAAAATAAATTGGGCAGTATTTTTATGTTATGGGGTGGCAAACAAGCTGATGGAACGCCTTATGGTAAGCAATCATTGCTGCTCATGGACTATCATGGGTGTCTAGTGTCCATGGCAATCACCCGTAACACCAAAGCAGCTACAGAGCGTTGCCGCATTTTTAGGGCTAGGGATTCGGGGATGGAGGATCGGTTGGGCCTCCCAGAATTGGGTTTATTTGTCAAACTGCAATAAAATAAACGACTGTGATTGAAGATGAAAGAGTTGCACGCGGCGGGGTACTCGTTGCTGTCGATCGACGCGACCGGTCAGACCGCGCTGCACGTGGCGGCGCGGTACGGGAACAAGGAGATCGTGAAGTACCTCATAGCGTGCGCGCCCACCGCCATCCTGAACATGCGCGACAACGAGCGCGGCCAGACCGCGCTGCACAAGGCGGCCGCGCACAAGCGCCGCGCCATCTGCTGCATGCTCGTGGCCGGCGGCGCCTCGCTCACGCGCCGGGACCACGCTGGACTCACGCCGCGACATCTCGCCCTGCGCGCTGAGGACCACGACTTGGCCGCATATCTTGAAAGTTAGTACACACATCATCACTAGATGCTTTAAAAAAATCATTTTTCTATTAAAAATAACAGTTTTCTATGACGTTTTGGCTTAGAAACTAAATTCATTACCAATGATAATATTAACTTCTTAATCCCCGATTATGAAAAATCTGTAATATTGGTTCATACTAAAGTAGTTTCTAAACATCGAAAATAAGGTCTACAATAGAGTAAGTGGAGAGCGGTCACCGGTGACCGCTTGGGGACTGGGAATCGTTACGATAAACTGTGCCGTTTTAACTGTACACATAAATCGGTCCAAACAGCCTACAAATCTTACGATTTACTTGTAGAAGTACAGTCAAAACAGTTTTCCTGCCGATTATCGTAAGATGTGTAGCATGCATAAATAAAAAGTTGTGATCATCCTATTTCAACACAATAAATAGCTATCCAATAATGTTTTGTTTCTATACAAATAAAAAATATATTCTTTTACAGGTCAGGAACATTTTCAATTAGTGTCTGAAGATTTAGAAACTGCCGTTTAATCAGTCGAACACATTGTCCGCATTCCCGGCGTGGCTGGAAATTACCGAGATAAGTCGTACCAGCGAACTAGTGATATAGTGAAAATGACTGAAGAATATTGTTCGAAACACCGAAGTGATAATCAGATCTGGTGTAGGATTATAATAAAAACATTTCTTTAAAATAATAATAATATTTGAAAATTTAACTTTAATCATAATTATATTTTCGTCATAAATTATAATATATTCTATTAATTTATTGAATTTAGTCGCTGTAAATGTTACAGATAAATAAATCAGTTATAGCTTGCGAAACATGCTAATATTATTGTTATTAGCAAGTTAATTCACTACCTTCGGATGAAACAAAAATACATTATCGTGCAGATGATTTCAAATAAATTCGCTTCCACGTTGAGATTAATCTGCGAGATAGTACATATCCGGGTATTGAGAAACAGGATGAAGCAATATTATGATAACGAGTTTTTAAAATTAATTGCATTAAATTATTGAAGTTTCTCCCTTAATATCTTTACTGTAACATTTATAGTTGTAATTAAGTATGAACTTAGAATAAACACTTATAAGGTGAATCTTTACGCATTTTGTTTCAATGTTTTCTCTTTTCTATTTAAAGGAGTGAGTGTTTTCATGATCTATGAAACAGCTCTGAAGTAAAAAGTGTGTGCCTTTCCCGTGCGTTGTACAAACGACAAGACAGTGGGATGTATCCCGCACTTACATGTGAATACTAAAATGAGAAACAGCAACCTGAAATGTTATACGGAACGTGATAGCTCTCACAAATTGTGAATGCAGCTAGCTTGGGACTAAAGTGTGATTAATGTTTGTCTGCCACAAACTTATGCTCCAGCTCATATCAGACCCGTGTTGAAAACATCTTCCGATTCAAAACACAAACAAAATAAAACGTTCGTATAATGTTAGGCAACAAGCCCCTCATGTAAAATCAGTCCGATAGGTGAACACGTAAGGAGTGTGGGCCAAACATAAAGAAGATAATACCGAGGGATACATTCACGCTGTCGACCTTTTGTGTTCTGTCAAAGGAACCTTTCTAAGTACTTGTATATTTTAGAATAAATTTTACATCGCTTTACTGACGAATCGCCTTTCCAGATTTCCTTATAAATTACTTCAATTATGAATCCATGGGACCCTAACTTACTCTTACTCTACGGAATGATAAGTCTTTATGATAATGTGAACATTACCTATGCGATTTATTCATCTTATGAATGCCTCTATAGACCCAATGAGTACAGTTGTGATAGTACAATGTTTATGTTGCAAGTCATTCAATTTGTTTTACCTACGTATTTTACACCGATGTGACTAAGTTATTTTGATAAAGCTATACTGTTTACTCGATCATTAGGCCTAAATACTTAAATACTGTTATATATTGTATGTATGTATTATAGAATTGTTTTTGATGCAATATTTTTTGTATAAGTGTCCTAATATTCTTGTTATTGTCTTCGGCAATAATGATTTAACTTCTAAGGCTAAATTAATACTACTGAGTTGTATGATACTGATAAAATCGGTGTCGTATATATTATGATCTCAGTACTTGTATGTATCCGTATTACGGTGTAATTCGTATTTCAGTATGTCCTAATAATGAAGAGTTGAGTATGTAATATAGTTTGTTTGTTGTCCTATACTGCGTTACTATGGAGGTAAGTGCACTCACTTGTGGATCGTGTAGCTAGTAATGTGTGAGCGGCGAGCGGGCGCTGGAGCGGTCCCCGGCCGCGCCGCGCCGCGTCCAGTTGTTATTTATTATCGTCTATCTCCTGAATGATTTGTGCGTTTGTACGAGTTTGGATCGCTAAGTGTTGTTTATGTCTATTACGCCAATACCTCTACTAGTAGATGTACCTAATAGTTTAGTGTTTATCGAATTTACTCGTACTACTCGCTGACAAGCGAACAATGAAAGACAAAGCTGTGAGAATTTTGGTCGTAATGTAAAAATGTAAGTTCATTTATATCGTAAGTGAAACGATATGCAACATTATACTAAACACTGTTTTGTGAGTTTCTTAATTTGTGATTGTAGATAGACGTTTTTGATATTTACCGTAATATTATGTAGAGAATTAACTCGTTGTTTTGAAGAGTTGACTATCCCTTCGGGCTTATTGCATTCGCGTTGCGAGTTACTCCGCTGAGATCGCAAGTATTTTCCTTCTAGAGCCGTCGAGCTCTTCACATTAATCGATGTCGCATTGGTTAGATAGTTAATTATAATCTACGAGCGTTACGTCTTAATAATATTAATATTTAAAAGTGAGATATTATAATAATAGAGCCGATTTGTGGGCGTCAGTTTAATCTTTAAATCGTTAGTGATACTTTTCCTATGAGATATTATTATACTTAGTCTTGTACATACCGTATTGGAGGCCTTCATTCAAGTAGTATAAAGTGTGACTCTTTACACGATTAGTCTAGTATTATCTCATGACCAAGTTCTGTCTAAGAAGGGAAATGAATATCACTAGGTTAAACATTTTGAGCTCTTAGGTAAGAGCTGCTTTTGGATCGAATATTTACTAGATTTATGAGAGAAACCCACTATTTTACCTGTGTTGCATATTTTTTCATACTGAACCTTTGTATGCCTTCTAAGTATCTTTATCGTCAGCGTATGTACAAAGTATGAAATTCTGCATATGACAATCAACAGATATGTTTTCGTTCCTGAAAAAACTGCCATATTCAAAGATAGTCTCTTCTCTTCAAGAACAAATTGAGTTTATAAGTTAATGACAGATTCTAAAAATCATCATCATCTTGTTAAATGAATAGTTTCGGTGATTTAATTTGTATTATAACTTGCGTGACTTTGGCGTATAGCCTATAGGCCTACGTTAACAATATATTAATACATAAGAGTGTAAAACTCTATTACCGAGGCATACCTAGGCCAGCAGTCCTTATATTAATAACGGCAGAAATTGGTCGCTAAGTTAGATTCTCCAGTAATAGATTTTCAGCTTTCTTCCTAAAGGAGGTAAGGTTGAAAATTTACTAAAGAAATTCACAATATGCGGATCGAATTTTGCCCTTACCTGCAGAGGTTAATATGTAGACTACATTCTTTAAGAGAACCTTTCATAATAATTCTATAACAGGTTGTGTTGATACAAGTATAACGTACTAAGTATCTGTTAATCCTCTGTTATTCTAGCCATATTTATATTAAATTATTGTACGATTAGTAAAACCAATGTAATTAATGTTTTTTTTAAGTTTGATCTATTTCCCTAAGCACATGCAGCATTCCATTCAAATTCTAGATACCTATTGCCTTTATATGTTTTATGTATTTTTACTTCGTCTTTCATTGTGTTATAAATTCTATATTATTGTTATCTTGTGAGTATTAATAAAGTACGGTCGAGCTATTTAAATTTCGATATAAGTATACATTCTTATATGATCAGCTTGAGTTTGTGGGGTTTCGTCTTCATTGTTGTTAGGACAAACACTTTCAAAATCTCATCGTCAAAACGCTAGAATCCTAAATGTGGAACTTGTTATGTTGTTTATGTTCGTACATCATTACTTTCTCGTTTAACAACATATTATTTGTTAGCAAAATATTTTCACCGTATCCTTGAAACGGAACCCCTATCAAGCGATCAAACTCGCATTTTCGAAGTTTTTTTGTCCGTAATAATATGTAAATAGAATAGACCCCTGAGATTCTATGCTGTGCTGTTTCGACGCGAATTATCTTTACATGAATAATAATTTACTACTTTCCACCCGATAATATTTACGTGCTAATGTTTGTACTGATCCAGTTTACTTAGTTTAGCTCTTACCTGCACCTAAAGAGAAGCAGAACCAGAGTAAACCTATGACAAGATCTTACCATCGAGCACACGTCATGTGGTCTATTCAAGTTCCTTTAACGCGTGTACTTATTAAGGTAAAATGTATTTTAATCTAATAAACTTATGGTATATTATGTAAAAGACACAATCTTGTATAAATTGGCAGCTGCGACGTGAAGCGAGAGTGTATAAGGGCACTGATCAATATGTATGTACTCACTGTGAGGTTAATTAAATGATTAATAGCTAATGTCGTTTCCTCCTAATTCACCTCCGGAGTTTGCCGAGAACCCTCTTTATTTCACTAACGAACACATTAGATTGTTCTACTGTATAAATGATTTAGCGAAGTTATAAATGTAATTGTTCCGAGGCACTAATCGGATTATATAAATAATGTTACCGATGTAGCTTTTACGTTGCAATATTTGTTTCCGATTAATTTTTCCCGAAAAAATAATAGCTACTATTATAATTTTGCTAGTAGAAACTTGACGCCAATAAAAATCCAAACTACATATGCCACAAGCATACTTTGGGGGAATATATTTGTCTTAAAGCTTGATTTTCTATTACAAAACATTTATCTTAAAAGAAAACATAAATACAAATGCTCTGTCATACAATATGGAGTAACGTAGCTCCTGAAGATTTTCTCGATAAGCCGTAACATTTCTCCTCCGCTGCAACCTTTGACTGCGGAGATTAAATGCATCGTGCGTCAGCTCGTATAAACTTAATCCGTATTAAAGCCCACTCCATTTACCCACTCAGGCTACACGTATTAGCTAATAAATAATAGAGATTTGCTCAATTACTACACACCTACTATATAATACACCCATATTTCTAGATGATACTCCACTACCTAAGCTTTAAATCTTTACAATACAATCTTTCTACCTCATAGTTACTACATACATATATAAACAGTGTGCAATGATATATTAACTTATTGTAAATCCTTGTACCAGTATATTACCTACGTAAATATAGCCTTTTTCAAAATAGTTTACCAAGGAGCATAATGATCTATTTAAGTAGGTACTCTTATGAAGTGTGTGTAACGACACTATCTACTTATTCAATTACTCTGTAGTAACAAACTGGATATTAATTACGTAAACTATTGAAAATTAAATGGTAATAAGTAAAATTAGAGTTTTGAGAGCACTAATTTCAATGTAAGTACATGATACTTATTTTTGCACTCAATAAAGTCACTATTTTAAATAAAATTATTAAAATCAAGTACACTGAAAGAACAATAAATAAAGTACGACCTAATTTGTGTTTTATTTTATCTTTCCAGTATGATATTACCCATGTTTTACTATTATACAAGCACAA